AGAAGCAATAATCCGATATCTGAGATCCCTCACTTTTGTTATTGTTTTCAGAGTGCTACTATCGACAGAGTAGTTGAAAGAAATAGGAACCCGATTTCTAGTAAAAGTTATAACACAGCATTTTTCGATGTTTATATAGAGATCATTATTTTTGCAGTATGATCCAAAGCCCTGAATCTCTTCCGTAACTTTATGCAGTAGGAAGATGTAGTAATTTTTCTGAAAATTTTCAGAACGTCAGCATACAAAGACAATTTACTATGTTCATTAAATAATAAAAGCAAAAGTTCGACCTCTCGAAAGGGCTCTTAAGGCGCCGTTGCACTGAGTATGGAGTTTAATGTAGGTACCCGACGCAACAAATGTACTTTCAAAGAACTTCGCAACCAAATTACTTATTTCAGAAACATCACATATCTCCCACCCAGTTGCCAAGACTTTTTCTGATTGTAAGGAATTTTCAAAATATAGGCCTCATAGCTTCTGCAATCACTCCGAATTAGACGCTTAGATCGATTTCTCAAATTTTTGAAAGAATTGAGGTCAGAAACGTTTCCATAAATCTGCCAATGCGTATTAAATTCATTTTCTTCTTTAATTACTTTTATTGTTGCAAATTAATACTGGCGTCGGAAACGCTAGTAAAGATTTTTTTCCAACAAATATTTGATAGTCGATGATTTATTTTACCGAAGTTAGCCTTCCTAAAAGTAATAAGTACTTTTGACAATTTTCCGAATCTGTTTATGTAAAATAAATTTAATGGCGGGGTGATGAAGATCCTCCTTTACCAAAGATGTACTACTCAGGTCATATCAACCAGCTCAGAATCTTCTTGTGTGATATTGTGCAGAGTAAGGACTAAGTTTGGTTCCATTTGTAACCAGGACAATCGGAGGGACAATTAATATCACGACACACTACGATAACGGCATTATTAGTTAGCTATTTGACTTACCACTAGGAGGCAAGTAAATACAGCAAACGTAAACCTTTACTGTGTCAAGTCTAAAACAAATCTATATATGGCCTAACTCTGCATTCGGGTACGAGTTGTACTTTCAACACGGAATGTAATAACCATACACCACTCCCGTGTAGATTGGTAGAATCACTTGTTTCAAGAGCTCTTCGAAACACGTTAAATGTGCGTAAATCAAGTTCCTCGTCCGAAATACGGACAGGTTTCATTTAGACATATTACATCAAAATTGGAAGATACAACACTAAGTGTAAACTCGTGTAGCTTGGATCTAAGGCCCCTTGTATTTTGAAAGAAAATATTCAAACCCATTAATAAAATCAAGGATAGGAATAACTACCATTATTTGGACTGTGAAATTATATTTTTCTGAAAGGCTCATTGCGCACCCAGGCGAACTTAAATTGTTTGTCTTTTCGTGCTTCCTAAGTGTAGTAGAGCGAATTTTTGCTTACATGGCGTCAAATATCCGATCTCTAACTAGGCATGATATAAATATAACGGTTATAGGTTTAGCATATTTTGGATTTTATTGTCTTCAACCGCAAAATCGACAAATTTACCAAGATTCAGCAATACAAAAAGAAGATTTTCATTTTTTGCTAGCGGGACACCCTGTATTTCTTAATTATTTGCTCGAGAGAATTGTTCCAAAGAGTCAATCTTGTTAATTAATAAATTCGCTTCCGGCTTTTCGTTCTGAGCCTTCATTTTATCTAGCGCCTTAAAATTATCACTGATTTTTTTAGTGCATCGATCCCCACGTCACGTCAACGGTAGAAACACCATCAGTGTAACACGACTGGTAAGACCACTTGCTACCTGGCGTATCTTTAAAAAAAGTCTGCTTGTTGTATATTGATATACACATATACAGTAGGGAAGAGGCGAAGTCTAGCAAAAGCTACTGCACTTAACCTCTTAAATGGTTAAATTGGAAACTAAATAGGAAGTTATAATTACATTGATAAATTAAATATAGTATAATGGATAAATTTAATAGTAATATGGAACAATAGAAAGTTATTAAAAGTAAAAATAAAAAGAATAACATTGAAAATCAAATTATTTGAGAAGTAGAGCAAGGACAAAACCTTCCAGTACACTTGATGAGATAGGGAGAAATTCAGAACTTACATTGTCAAGGGTAACTCTCTGATATCTGTAAGCTAAGTAATTTTCAATTTGGCGCACATAAGTTTGTGGTCAAGCCGATCAAAGGCTTTAAAATAATCTAAATATATAAGTGCAGTCGCAAGACCATTACCTAAAGAACTAATAATGTGATCGTTGATGTATAAAAGTAGACTAATAGTACTAAAACCTTTACGCAATCCAGATTGACTGTTAGTAACAATATGATTAGAAATAACATAACCATAAATTTGTTTATGACTTTCTCCAGAACTTAAGATAAGATTGGAAGAATATTGAATGGACGAAGTTTTGAGAACTGACTGAGATTGTTATTTTTTGCCAATGGTGTGATCATAGCAAATTTCCAAATACTAGCAAAATAGCCTACTTCCAAACAGCAATTAATAATATCTGTAAAGTTTGAAATAGTGGCTTTTATTGAGTCAATAGTTGCGAGTTCAAGTGCGAGTGATTTGTTGTTGTTAATATTGCTAAAAAGAGAAGTAAAATAAAGATTAATATCACTGGTATTTTTTAAGTTCCAAAGTCGGTCGATTACAAATTTTAAAAATATATAAAGTTTTATATATCTGTTTAGAATTCCTAGAATCGAAATTGTACAAATACAAATATGCCGATTTTTCTTTACGTACTGCACTTGTAACAACATTCCTTATTTCTTTATCACCAATGTAGTCAGCCATAGATTTGGATTTTTTATATTTCGACAATTTTTGCGAATAGTATGTGTTAACGAAGGAGTATAGGTGTTGTTAGAAACGACAAAAGGAGCATGTTTATCAAACAGTGAAGTTATGAAGAAATTGAACATATCTATTTTCTGATCAATATAATTTTCGTGTATAAAGAGATGCCAAGAGATACCGACAATATTGTCGAAGCAATGGCGATTGAAGATTGATGATCAGAAAAAAACTCCAGAAGAAGTAGCCATACTAAGTTGGTTAGTATTGATTACGTCCAACAAGGTTTGAGAATTCTGAGTTAGACGGGTGGGTTCTGAAATTAATAGAGAAAAATCATATGCTTCTAAGCCCGTTTTAATTAAGTTAGGGGTAAGTTAATCTATATTGGGGCACCACGTATGACAATATATTATCAAAATAACCCACAAAAGTATTTACACTTCATGCATTTGTTCTAAAAATGGTACCAATTAGTAACAGTAGCTTATAAATTTTAAGATGAACCCAAAGATGCTCAATACCTAGCGGAGGATTGAAAACATTTGGCTGTTCTAATGAATCGACATTCCAACACCTCCTCCAATACGTCCAGTACAAGCTTGAAATCTGGAATGTTTACAGCATAGTCAGGAATATTTTCGTTTAGTCATGTTTCTGTTAGACAGATTATGTCGGATTTATGCAGGTCTACGAATTCAGTAAAATCATTAATTTTAGGAACCAAAGAGGCGACTATTAAAATGATATAATTTTAAATTATTATTGGAATTGAATTCTAGATTATAAAATTTCAATATTATGTAAGTAATATGAGCAGGTTTAACTGTTAGCGATGTGGGCTGTATTTAAATTCGTTTTGTTTTTACTGTTAAATTGTTTACAATTATTGCAGCAAAAGTCTTGAGCTTGACATTCATTCTTCTGGTGGCTTCCTGAATACTTAGGGCAGACAAAACCAGAACTGTGGCAATCCTTTTTGATGAAACTAATCTTGAGACATTTAACACACCTTATGACATCAAAATTATGATTAACACTACATTTAGACCAACCGATGAAGAGATATCCCTTAGCCATGACATGATGGAAGACCGAAGGATAACATTCCATTACGATGTTAAAATGATTTTTATAATACATTTTGGTTACAAATCGAATATCATTAGACAGCAATTGATTAGCTTTAATCATTTAGGCAACAAAGTCACCATCTTCGAGCGAAACAGTCTCTACATTGTAGATCATAAACCTTGGATTTAGTTTTTTAGGTTCTCCTATATCGAAATAATCACCAATTTTTCTACGTAGTGCATCCTTAAGCTTAACTATTTTCATTTTAATTACATTGGCATTTAAGGATGCAGGATCAATTTTCGACTTGACTTCTTTTTCTATCTGTATATTTGTAGCGGTTCGATCTAGCGACCTTATCAATAAAACAGGCGAATTAATTTTATCGCTGCTATTCGCAGCATAGTAACTTTTTGCGTTTTTTCTTGTCGCAATAAAAACACCATTAGATTAACTTTCAACTTCGCCATTTATTAAGAGATGCACAACTAGGATCACTAGCGTTTAGTAACTAGTGCCGCCATCTCCAGGGTAAGGATAATTAGTTATCAGTTTCTTACTTTTTCTGAATTTATTGATCGAAGGTTCCATACTTTCCTACCAAGCCTTCAAATTATCAATTTATCCAAGTAAATGTACTGAAAAGAAATAACAAGCAAGGGAAAGAGTTTGCTAACCCCATACATAATTTTCTTGAATACCGGTGTTCAAAGCAGCCTGTAACATACCTTTTTATAGAAATCGAACTTCAGATGTATGTTATCAAGTTGTCAAGTGCAAACTAATTTTAATTATAATGATACATGGTTCTTGCAATGCTACTCTTCTACAGCATTCATCCTTGATAGATTCGGGGGCAGACAAGCTTGAGGTTGTTCCGCCAACATTGGTGCTCTCTCTTAAGATTCGTCAGATTTTAGGCATTTCTACGCGCCACTGTTGTGCAAAAATGTACCCAAAATCATGAAAATTGTGTAATGTACATATTGGAAATTAAAATCGCAATTGTAATTGGAATCTTTTTTACATAGTTCCGAATCTTTGCTTAAAATATGTGGTGGATAAGATAACGTTTCTTATGGACCTAAACAGAAAACACTTACCTTCAGTCCTCAAACTTCTAATCTGAGTTTCCAAAGGTCTAAAGGCATTCAGTGGAATATATTCCAAATAGTTTTTGCTTAAATCCAATGTCCTCAATTTTTTTAATGGCCGAAAAGCTTCCCCAGACACCGACGAGATCCAGTTACCATATAAGTACAATTCGGCAAGATTTTCCAAATTCTGTAGAGTTGTCTTGCTTATTCTGAAAAGAAAATTTATTATTAAATTACAAACGAAACATTTTTTTTCTATGAGCCGGAAGTAAGAACATTTTAATTTTTAGTTTTCCCCCGTTTAGTTTTTTTTTATTAAATATTCCACTAGCTGACCCATACATTCTTTTAAGAAAATTGGTTGACATGAAGCCTGAGCAACGGTTTCTGTGGTTTTTCTAAAACAACCAGCCTCTTTTATTGGAGAATATTCCATTTTATAGTGTTAATTGGGATTTTAATAAGTTTAGCGGCTGTTGAATATACCAGATTATGATTATGAGGGAACAGAATTGAGGACAGCACTAAAAACCCTGGCACATGCCCCAATATCCACAAGACAATTGTAAGTTGACTCAAATTTTCATAAGTTTTTTGAAGAAGATAAATGAATACTAATGAATACGTTAATATTTCCTTTTACGGCTACTCGTTTGTTCTTTCAGCCCACTTTGGACAGGGTGTAAGAACAAGTGTCGAGGTGGTTCAATAAATTGAACAGCTCGATCGCCTGACATACCCACTAGATTGTTATTTGTGTGGTAATTTGTGTAATTCTATACAGTGTGTCCATGTTGGAAACAATGAGAGATATGAAGATGTTTTCTGAGCGTTACTGCAACCTCCTGAAGCACGATATTGAATAAGCTTTGGACAACTTACCACTTGCAAAAGTTATAAAATGTTAGTTTCAACAGCCTAATCATGTGCCAGTACCTATCGGACAGATTTCTAGAAAAATTGGTAGGTAACCGTTCAGCAGTTTTATCGCCCCTCGTTCGGCACACCTCGCTCCACTTGATTTTTTATAATGGCGTATTGCAAAAATTATTTACTACTACTACTAGTTAACAAGTTTTTATCTGTGTTTGAACTGTCTTTATATTTTTTTTTTTAGTAAGTTCTTAATTTAACCACCTTAATATCTCTTATGGTTTCCAATAGATGTTGACAATAGACGTCCTTATCTTGGGCATACTGTATATGCCACGGATGTGGATAGTCCAGAAGAGTTACCATAGCTGGAAATCAATTAGGAACAATCGCTTCGATATTCTTAGTGCATATCTAAATATGAGAATAAGGTTGCTACTATATATTCAAAATAATGCAAATTTTGACCAATTAATGTAGATGAGCAATTTTGTATTGTTTACCATTGAATAAGTTGTAAATGAAACTAACTGTTAAATGTTATTTTGTTTTTCACTAAAACACGCTGCTTGTGAGTCATCGAATGAAAAGTAACGAATAACGAAGCTATCAATACGATTTTAAGGCATGCTTTTTTATTAGTAAATAATATGGACTTACAAAACAGTGTATTTTTAAGACCCAATTTCTTGGAAAACGTCCCATCCTAGCTAGATTAATCAATTGTACCTTCTTGTTATTGCAGTTTTTCTTACGACTACCCCTCGAAAAATAAGTTCCTTTTGTTACCACTTCCTCTTAAGTCCCTTCCAAAAAATTGACTTTTATAATTTTAGCATCAGATTCAGCATGCCAAAATTACTAAAATTTGAAATGTTTCCCTCAAAAGCTATTTCGAAAATATTAACAACAAAGCATTTTCAGGTTCACTGCTTTCAGAGTATGTGGATCCATTAGGGGGTGTTTTTCGACATATGTTTCTTTAGAAAGGAAGGGCTAATTTGGACGTAGTTATAGTTTAACTAGAGTTGGTGTTCATGACACCATGTAAATGTGTTTGCTAGCTTACCTTACTATTTGGTTGAACGAAATGTCTAAAATTTGTAGAGATTTCAAATCTGCCGGAAAATCGTCCAACTCTTTTAGCCTGTTGTGAGTTAAGTTCAGAACGCGCAGATGATATAAACCCTGAAGACGTTCCTGCGGTAACAGTTCAATTTCGTTAATTCCTAAGTCCAAGGACAGAAGCTGTGGAAGATTGGCAAAGGCACCTGGAGAAATACGAGCGATTTGGTTCTGACCCAAATAGATATGTAGAAGAGCAGGGAAACATTCGAAATCCTTACTGGTAACGATGGTCAGATTGGTTGACCTTATGTGTACCTGAAATGACAAAGAGAGCAACTAAAGTTAATTTTTAGCAAATATATGGGAATATTCCTTTTATACTTTTTTTTATGACTATTTTTGAAACTGCTTCTAAAGAACTAATAGGACAATCCCTTATTCTCCCCAGCCACTCAGTCCATAGCTAAGCTGTGATTCAATCAAGGAAAAGTAAAGTATTCTTCTGTAAACGTTTAAATTTTGATATTAGGCTGCAAATTTCTTCTTGTAACTTCATTGGCGCGCAGGTCTCGTTTTAAATGGAAATCTAGAGTAGATACTAGATACTTAATATACAGTCTCGGGTATTATAATATTTTTATTGAGATTTATAATTATATTCAGGGGACCCATTTTTGGTAGCCCTAATGCATATGAAGTAAAAAAAAGTATTTTGTTTTCGAAACATTCAGTGAGAGGTTATGTTGTTGAAACAAACTAACTGTATTGTTTCCAAATTTCTTTCAATCTTTGTCTTTAAGATTAACCAAGAAGCAGCCGTATGGAATATTACCGTGGCATCTGCGTAGCTGACTATTTTTCCAAAATACCAGGAAGTTTTATTTTTTCTAATAATACTCGAAGGTTGACTGTATCGAAGGGTTTCGATATTCATTTTTGGTTTTATGTAAAGATTCGTAAAGATGTGAGGATAGTCTGAACAGTGCATTCTCCGTTGATCTTTTCTAGCGAAAGTAACCTGGTGGTCTGAGAGCGCAGACATTTTTGTATAAAACTTAACTAGTCTATCGTTAAGAATATTTTCAAATAATAAGAGGTGTATAGTTGTTTATGGTTTCTGACGGTGCGCTCTCATACAAAGGTGTAACTGACGCCACTTTTGGAATATCAGCAAAAGATCCCCAAATAAAATTTGCAGGGTTTAAAATTGTATTCCATGAGTACTAGAAATCGGGTTCCTATTCCCTTCACGCACTCTGTCAATAGTAGCACTCTGTAAAGAGTAACAGAAGGGAGGGATCTTGGAGAGAACTAATATTTCGATTTCACATTGATACTCACATCTCATCTCACATCCTGTTTCCAAGTGCAATAGTTTACTAATAGACAGGTCTCGCGCTTATGTTAGCATGTAGCAAGCGTATTTATTTCCTAGAAATAGACTTCTCTGGGATATAAACAAGAATTCAGGCAGAACAGAATTAATGTTGCTCCTCGACAATTTCCAACCGTACCTTTATTTACTATTTCCTTTAGAAACACTAAAAAAATTCAAAATTCTCCCCTGCTGATTTATTCTTTTCTAGCTTATCAATTGTCTGCTTAGTTTCATTCACAGTTACTTCATACTTGATATTTTGAGGATTGTTAATTTCGCTAGATAACTTCCCTCCTTTTATATTGAAATATATTTATCGTTGTCCAGTACTTCCGGTCCAGTAAAACATAAGCTAGGATGTATAGAGTTTAAACGGTTAACAATAACTCGGAAGAATTCGTGACGGTAAGGCCATAGTTTTGTTTGAAGATGGAAAGCGTGAAAGAGCTTCTTCTCAGAAGCTTCCATATATATATTAGCGATGACTGGTGATAATAGCTTTTAAGGATATTTGGTAAAAAATTTGATCGTTACAAGGAAAAATCCGTTCCAGGAAAGCATTTTTCAATTGAGATGACACGATTTGATTTCCAGATCCTTGAATTTGAATAAATTTGAAATTGTGTCGAGAGTTTCAGGAATGAGAACTTTAGCAATGGTTTTTAGTTGTTCAAAGAACTGAAGGAATTAAGTACGAAACTATCAGCTTTCTGTGTAAAAAGTTCTTCTTGAGACACTAAGAGTTTACAGCATTCGATGCATACGCGCCAAAGCGGCAAGAAACAGGATCGTCTTTACCAACTCGGACAAGGCGACCTCAGGAAAAGGCACAAGTTTCTGGAAGACTCTCGATCCGCGACGCGTCGGTTAAATAGCTCTACGAACTACTACTACGTATTACATTTGTTGCAACGGAGCTATACAAAGAACGTAACGGGTTGTGATTTTGCACTCTTTTCGGCCGTTCAGAATTTCGGAGCCTATAACAGAAAAATTAAGCAACTGGTCCGATGTTTGGTGATATATCGCTATAGAATTATGTTGATTTTTGTTGTCGGGTTGAATATCTCCTTACGAAACGAAAGGTAAAGCTAACCAAAACCCAAGATCAAATTCTAGCAGCAGAATTTCGGTTGTTTATAACTAACAAACTTCTATCGGATGCTGCACCCTATATGGTTAAGGCAGCACCAAATTTAAACATATTTTATTGTGAACTATTTCGTGTTACTTGATTGGCTCATGGTATCAATAGGGTGGCAGAATATATCAGAGACAAGTTTTCATTGATAAATCATTTAATTAATCGAATAAAAAAATATTTCTAAAAGAACCTTCACGTGGTTAGCCGCTGCTATATTTCATGCTGAGAACTTTGAATTAGTTAAGAGTTAGCGAAGATCTAAACGACTCTTCTTCTGATGCTCTAATAAATGCAAAAACCCAACAGTGAAAGAAAATGTAATATTTGTAAAAAACAATTTATTCTTTTGTAGCTATTTTGTATCTGTTCCTTTGACAGATTCAGTGGCTTTAATAAATCAATTTGAGGTAGATTACAAAAAATTTCAGGTACAGGTTGGGCCTGCGGTTATAAAAAAATATATGTCAGTAACAGAGGCTTTTGGAAGAATGGGATTTGTATAAATTAGAAACATAACTAATTTCAAAACTAGAACACTGCCCGGCAACTTCTGTATATGTTGAGAGAATCGAATGTTTAAAGACAAAAGACACAATTTTCTTTTGAGAAATTGTGAAAAAAAATTACTTGTCAATTGTTTTTATAACTGCAAAGAATAGTTTTTTTTTTATTGACGAATGGTATCTTGTTCAAGTTGATTTGATCTGAAGGTATTATTGGTACTGCTGAATTGCTAATCGTATTGTTTTTTTTATAATCGCAAATAACATTTTGTAAAATTTTTTTGTTTTAGTTTTTATTGTCTACAATTTGCTATGCATGTATTAATGAATAAAAACCTTTTATACTATTTTTTTTGTCTTAGTTATATTTCTTCAAATAGGTATGTGGTATTGGTAAATAATTATAGGATTTCGGAAGAACCGGTTAAATTGTAAAGAAATTGTTCATAATTCTTGTGTATAAGCATCCACACAAACTTAACCCCGGCTCAGGTCTTTCCTAATATGACACAGTATATAAACACATATAGAGTGGAATGCAAACGAATTTCGGTTAAGCTCTGAGGAAATCAATGTCAACAAGTCCTTTTCACCAACCAGCAACACTGGAAGAATCCAGAAGATTGGTATTTTTTTATTTATGTATTTTTAATAAACAGTATATGAGCAGGTTGTAAAAGCTATTTAAAGGAAATAACTCAAAATCGGTTTGACTGCGTTTTTTAATTAACACTAAATGGCAAAGCTCCTTCTGAGAGCATCGCGCCTCGATACGAGTTGGCGCTTCGAACTCTGGGGAATACCTAACTTTATATGTGGTCTATATATTATCTTGTTGTTAGCCATCGAAATGTCTGTTCAATATCTATTAGTCGGAAATTCCGAAGTACGGAAGTCTGAACTTTAGAATCAATAATCTAGCTTCAATTGCGTTCTCTAGATGTTCCTACACATTTTTCTTGTTAAAACTTGATGTTACCTAATGCTAACATTTCAAACCACCTAACATGTACCGGAACGAATTTTCGTATACGTGTTTGCGATTTTTATAACCATTGATATTTTTCTATTTCTTTTAAATTTATTATTTTGCTTTGTTAAATATTATATTTTTAGATTATTCACTTTTGCATTATTCAGGGTGCCCCAAGTCTTCGATATCGATATCAATTTTGGCATTTCATTCATTACGTTTTTGGATGTGACGAATGCAAGTTTCATCGGATCGAGCATATTTGATAGGAACCTGGGTCGGGGAAAGCTTAAATGGTTTAAACTCTGGTTTATCTCTTATAGAATTTTTGGAATTCTATTGAAAATACAACAAATAAAATAAAAGGAAATATCCAATTGTTCCTTTTCCGTCAATAAAATTATATCTTATTATTATTGCATGCATGAAAATATTTTTTTTCCTGGAACGCTGCTCTTTTAGGACTGCGGAACTTTTATTATCTTCAATATAGCATTAACAAAGATTTAATCTTCCTTGTTTTGAATACCTATGTAAAACTATTTTATCTTGTATTTTAAGTTGAACCTTTTTACTTTTCTCTTTAAACAACAGTTACAACTGCCGACATAAATCAAGTTAATGAGCAAATATGGCTTTTTGTTTGTCGACTTCCAGGAAAAAAATTCTTTAGATTCCCGTACTTACTGTAGAACGGTGTTCTAATTTTATAAAATTTATTGATTTTCTGCATATTCGTCTTTTAAATTTTTCTAGATGATTCCTTGAATTGTATTTATTGAAAGTATTTGGTAATTGATTAGATAAACATTTTTAACTTAGTTGAGTGATTTAAAAATTTTAACAGGTGCTGTTTTTGGCAAAAAGTAAAGGATTTAGATGTAGAACATATTTAGTGAAAAATGAAGTGTGTGTAAAATAAGGGAAATAGTGGTTCTTATTTTTTAATTTTAGCAGCTATAACATACACTCTGATTAATCTATTTCGTTAATATCACATTGAGTATCTACCAGGAATCCTTACTTAAACACGGTGTTAATTTTCAACGCCTTGCTTAAGTTTTATGATGCAAACGTAGGAAAAAATTGGAAAATATTTCTTCTTTGACGCATGCTGCACAACTAAACATGGTTTTAGTTCGTAATCTTTATGAATATTACAACGTTGGCCGAAAGAGTTTTTCCGATCTCTGCACACCACATTTGTTTTTAAAATGTATTCCGAAGAACCAACAGAAGATAATAAATCTTAAAAAATCGTCAAATTATTAATAAATGATATACCATTTTATACTGTGTCCCGAATGCCTGTAATCACAGGGTTTCTCAACAACCAGCAGAGATAGAGAACTATGCGGTTTTCGTGACTCCGTCCGAGTTTTTCGTAAAACTTTTTAATGCGGTAAGTAGAATTTTGCCAACTTCCCTGGTTCCAGAGATACAGGGTGAAATAGAAATTTTGCGTTTTTTGGGGTGGTATAATTGTTCTTACAGCTTATAAGAAGAAGAAAGGTAAAAACATTTTAACGTAGAATTCAGGGGTGTAGTCAACAATTTTTTTAGACAAATCATTTCAGAAATACTGACCAAATATAGTGTTTTTGAAATGAACAGTCCTTATGTTTTGATCCAAAAAAATTGCCTTTTTTTCCTCCTTAAAATCATGTCTCTAACGTAAACTTTAAAAATGCAAATATAATAAGATAAACGTAAGTTGTCATGGAAATTATAAGTGTTCACAAGTAAAATTAAACAGATATCTCAGTTAGCTCGTAGATCGATTTTCCACAGAAAGGAAAACCAAAAAAAATGCATTAAATGTCGCGTAAATTAACAAATATTAAGTATAAAATGAATATTTTTCAAAATAGTCATAAAATGATATGATGGACTGTTTCAATCAAGCATCTGATTTGTATTTTATGAATATGAATATATGAAAATATGGATAAATGAACTTATTACTCGTTATTACATTGCATTCTGGATTTTTTTTCATTCAGTGCAGTGTTATTAATTAATTATAATTTTAATTAATTTTAAATAACGAATTATTAATTATCCCGAATTCGCTAAATAAAACACTTATTTGTTTTATCTGAGATGTTAAATATTATTACTTATATTTATTTATTTTTTGTCATACATTCGAAGAACACAAAATATTTTGTATTATCACTTATTCTTCCATAAAAAATTAGGTTTAATCAACTAACTAAAATTAATCAAATACTGAAGCCTAAACAACTTTGTCAATTATTGAATCGTTTAAGTAGTAAAATGTGTATTGAAATACGACATTTTTTACAAATTTAAACTAACCAAAAGAGTTAGAGACATTAATAAGCACCATAGAATGACATGAAAATTTGTTAATGCGGCAATATGTGCTTAAGATGTTTTATTCTATTTTTAAATAGGTTTTCGCATTTTGCTATATAAATACATGTCAATAGTTAATAATGTTAGTTAGTCTCCAACAATTGATTAATGGTAGAGTTAGTCAAGGTCGAGTTAGTTAATGTCAGTATAAATGATAATACTAAATATTTCTAGACATGTCAAAACGTAAAAATATCATCTATGAGGCATGGTGTTCTTCGAACGTAGTGTAAAAAAAGTAATAAAGTGAAATAGTAATATATAATTTAATTAATTTGTTTTTCTTTCTTAGTACTTACTATTATTTAATTGGCACTTTATTTGGTAAATTGCAGAAATTAATAACAGGCCGCAAATTTCTTCCGAAATAGACCTTGTTTTTTCATTTTAGGGTATTATAAAGACATTGGGATACGGTTTTCAGTAGATTTTTGGGTCTTTGCTTGACTATCTAATAACATAAAAAAGTCATATCGATGCATTTATTATTATTTCAGATTTTTTTGCAATTATCAGAAAACTTCACCTGGTGGCAACATAAGCAAACACACTCGCAGCACCGTTGATAGCCTGGGAAAAGCTTTTTTTACACCCGTCTTCTTAATAACGTAATTCGTTTCCCTTGCTGAGACCCCCCCCCCGTATATTGGAATATTTTGTTTTATATTATAAGTGATTCCATAAAACTTGAATTTTTTCACTTCATGTTTCAAGTTCTAAGATAACGTGGAAAGAATCATTGCTGTCCTTCTGAAAGGCAACACCATATTTACCTATAAAATTTTAAGAACATTGAACTTCGATATTGCATCGCAGAGAGTACTCTGAGGTGACAAATTTACAAGTTTATCGTCTATTCCGTCGGAGCGATTTATCTTAATCATTTATATTACACTTTTTTTCCAAAACTGTAAAATAACATCATGTAGAAGAAATTTACAAAGAAATTCTCATACATTTCTAAAATGCAAGAGGAATCGTCCCAAACGAATAATTCCAAATTTTCACGATGAACTAATAATGATTCGTATGTTCAGGCAATCGTAACATCAAATATACAGTCGAATGGGAAGTAATTAGTAACTCACCTCCTCCAGCGTAGGGTAGTTCCGTGCGGAAGCAACGTCATGAATCCTCACCAACGGATTGCCTGTCAAATTAAGCCAGCCGAGGCCGTGCAGCGTGTTTTCCGCCAGCGCCGCGTTCGGGATATGTTTGAAATGGTTCCTCGACAGATCCACGCGCCTCAGTAGCGCCGAATGATGAAAAAAATTTGCCGGCAACGCAGAGAGTTCGTTTCCGCTCAAATCAACCGACACTAACTGAGTCAAGTTGGCCGATGCGAAACCGGACAATGACGATATTCGGTTGTTTTTCAAATCCAAGTCCCGCAAATTTGGCAAACCGTTCAGTTGCGACACCTCCAGGGTGACCAATCGGTTGTGCGCTAGCGAAAGGGTTTCCATCGTAGATATGTTTAAAAGAGCGGTGTAAGGAAGGGATTGGAACTTGTTGCGGATTAACTTCAACTCTTTTAAAACATTCAAGTTGAGAAATACGCCGTGCTTGAGTTCGTTTAAGTCGTTATCGCTTAAATCGATCCTCAACAAATTTTTGTTCTTTGCGAATAACCCGAAGGCCAGTTTGCTCACGCCGCATTCCTCCATGAAAACTTCTTGTAACGACGGGAGTCCGTTGAGCGCCGCCCCGTGGAGTTCCGTCAAGTTGTTCTTGCTTAGTTTTAAAACTCGCAGTCCCGGAATATCGAGATGGGCCAAGTCCGCGGCGGATAAATCGTTAGATTCCAAATTCAACTCGTTAAGGTTGTTCAAACCGTGAAAAGCACCCCGCTCTATTTTACAGATCGAACAGTTTACCAAACTCAACTTTCTAATCGGCAATCCTTCTTGAAAAATAAACCCGTGGAGCACTTTAAGTGGATTAAACGACAAATCAAGCACCCTTAACTTTTTCAAATTGGTCAGGGCTCTGGGTTCGACTTTTTCGACGAGATTGCGCGACAGATACAACTCCTCCAACTCGTAGAGTTCCGCGAAACTCCGTGTCGTAACTTCGGTCAGAAAATTTACGCTTAAATCGAGAAACTTTAAGGCTTGCATCGGTTCGAAAGCTTTGTCTTCTATGAACGAAATGCTGTTGTTGGTTAAGTACACTCTTTGTATTAAAAGAAGATCTCTGAACAAAGCCGTCGTTAGTCGAGTTAATCTGTTGTGTCCAAGCCACATGATTTGTACGCTTGACTGTCCCTTAAGTGAATCGTTGTGCAGAGATGTTATAATATTAGAGTCTAATTGGATGGATACCAAAGACGGCGACTCGTGCATAAAGACGTCTCCTAATTCCGAAATGAAGTTACCTTGCAGATTGACGTGTTGAAGACTTTGCAACGTGCGGAAGGATCCTGTGTCGATCGACGTTATTTGATTGTTTTGCAGATGCAGCTCCAACAGAACCGGCAGCGGATCAAATACGCCCCTTTGTATGGACCTAATTCTATTACTATGCAGTCTTATCTCTTTAAGATTCGCAGTTCTCTCGAAAGTGCCAGGTTCCAAATCTACTAACCAGTTGCTGTCGACGCTCAGCGACGCTAGGTTGCGGTTTTCTGCGAAAATGTCTCGCGTCAAACGAGGAATGAAGTTCGAACTTAAATGTAACTGAGTTAAGTTAGTCAGCGTCCGAAATGCGTCACGATCGATGCGTCTTATCGCGTTTTGCTGAAGATATATCACCGTCAAGTTAGCGGAGTCGGTGAACGCGTCCACCGGAATTTCCAAAATGTTATTTTCCGATAAAAAGAGTTCCTTTAGTTCGGGCAAAAACGCGAACACTCCGCTGATGTAGTGCACATGGTTGTGACTGAGATCGACCGAGCGCAGTTTCTTGTTGTTCTGAAACGTCAACGAGTCCAGATAAACGATTTTGTTATGACTCAAGTCGAGCGATTCGAGATCGCGTAACGACGCGAGAGCCTCCTGGTGTACGTTTTCGATCGCGTTGTAATACAACGACAAAGTCCGCACCGCGGGGCATATCCGAAAGGAGTCCTTCTCTAAATTCTCGAAATTATTGAAACTGAGGTCGAGATACAAAAGCGAGTTTAGATGGGAATAGGAGTCGTCTTGAATACTGTTAATTTCGTTCCACGCGAGGCGTAGATGTCGTAGCTGTTCGAGCCGTCTGAGAGCTTTGATAGGGAAATGTTGGAGCTTGTTTTCGGCCACGTCCAATTCGGAGAGGGTGCCTTCTAAGCCAGCAAAAGCGTATTCGGAGACCTGTAATAAAATATAACCGCTTCATTAACGACATTGATTTCAGCTTCGTGGTAAAACGATAGAAAATGGTGCAGTTACAAACTATATATGCAATAAATAATAACGATTTTCTTGAAAAGTATTTAAAAAACACGCCGATTTCAATTACAGGATTTTCAAAGGAGGTCTGAGAACACGCAGATATCGAGAAATCGTTGAGGAAGTTATCCCAGAGCTGGTGTTTACAGCAAGATGGTGCCCAAGTCATAACTTAAGGGAATTTATTAATAATAACTGTCCTCAAAAATGGATAGGTACCAACGGACTTATTGGATAGGATCCGCGATCTCAACATTTGTCAATTTAATTTTTTTTTTGGCATAAAATTGTAATACAAGAAGACATTTAAAAGAGAGAAACTAAGTAATGAAGAAAACACTAATAATCAATAAAACCAAATTAAAAATATTTATTTCCAACATTCAGAAAACTACACAAAAATGGGATTTAATGTTATTAATTTACTAACCTTAAAGGTCATAATTAAAAAAAAATAGTTCGTGTTAGTATTCTGTTTTTCCAATTCGTCTTATTCTATACTTTCAAAATTTTCAAGTTAATCAAATTGGAAACCTTAACCGGTTTTTTCTCTGCTTATTTATTTTTAGAATCTCGCAACAGACCAATGCATACGAAATATACATTTCCGAGGAATTCAAAAATACCCTTATGTACTGGGGGCTCTATTTAAAATAAGAAAGTTCATGAAATAAGAAACTTTGAATCCTGTACTAAGACCAATATAATTTTTTAAAATTAAAAATGAATCACTTCTTGTTTAATGTTTTTTATATATTCAAGTTCTGAGATAAGATGTAAACGCGCAATATTCTCTATGCGCGTTGTTGCGCTATGTCTCGCTATACTGTAGCAGTCATCGTAAAATTTATAAAAAAAGTGGATTTGATGCTTAACCCAACCTTTTGTTTTATTTTCCATTTTAAAAATACTTAATAGTGGATTGCAAAATTGTTACAAACTGAAGTAAAAAATAAAACGTTGCCAGCAAATATCGCTTATTTCAAGAAGTTCAAAGAAGAAGTCAACTGTAGTAGCATTGGGAGGAGAGTAGATTAAATTAAAAATTTGTCAATATTTTCGATTCAATTATGAATATGTAATGCATCTATTTGAGCAACTGGACGCTTTTATGAATGATGATTAGAATAACATAATCCTTATAGCATTGAGGTGCTTTACAACAGGAAAATACCAACTAGGTGTTGGGCCAGAATACCTTCTGGCTGTAAATCAAGCAGTTGTGAGCTGTTTTGTAATTATTAAAATGATGAAAACAAAAAGAAAACAAGTAAATTAGCACTCTGTGCTTATGGTCTGCATGGGCTAATTGGCGCAATAGGTTGCACTCAGATAAGGATACCAGCATCATCATTTGAACAACACGCTTCCCTTAACAAAAAGGGTTATCGGTCAGTAAAAGTTCAGCTAATTTGTGAGGAAGTCTTAGGTATACTTAATATAAACTGAAGATACGCAAATAGCAAAGAAAGCAGTACACCTCTCCTCTCTCCTCTCTTAAATTCTCCTCATGAAAGCTACAAGCAAGCTCATGCCTCCACACGAAACCAAATTGAAAAAAGAAAAGTAGGCAAAAATATCCCCATATTGACTTAAATCCAGTTCGCCAACTTAAACACTGACAAAAAATTAAAAGTAAATTGTATAGTTCACACAGCCCGGCTGATATTGATTTAAAAATGGATACATTGCAAATATGGTCCGTTTTATTAAATTTTGTTGCGAACTATCTAAATCTAAAAGTTGTGATGCCATAATACACAAAGCATTTTATACATACATTTGGCCATTCATCTGTAATTGTTTGGTAAAACGCCATGCCATTTTGTTCAAGTATTTTTTAGTTACAATTTCTCGCTATTCTTCTGCAAAATCGAAAAATGCCGACCACAGCGATGGATTTGTTTTTTGTCTTTGATCCGTAGCCAAAAATATACTATATTGTTCAATTAAATTGGAATATAAATACTTATACTATAAAATTGCATGCAGTTACTGTGTTTTAAAAAATTTTAATAGTATATGAATATAATGAACAGACTAGATTAGACAATAATTGTTTCAGACCACGTCAGAATCCAAACTGAGAATGGTCTCCCCAAAAAAAGATGAAAAGAATGTTAAATACAGTGTGCAATTTTATATACTGCTGGAATTTTTATTTTTGTAACTGAAAAACAATAAATATTCCTTAATGTTCAGAAACCTTTTCTTCGGATCCGATATACTGGCGCTTTCTTAACTGTTTCATTTGGGGAACGAACCCTAATGTCGTAATCAATTATTAGGAATCCTCGATCATATTCATTACATTTTCTGGCCTCGGGTCGTTAATTCTCGTTTATCAAAACGCACCCCGAGCGACATATAAAATATCGGATATTACGGCCATAAAATTTTCAATAAATGATTCTCATTTTACGTTTCAGTGCATAAATATTATTTTATGGCTGTTGCATTTAAAATTCAATCCATGAAAATCGAGCCGCAAATTCAGGAACTTCGCGTCTAATCGGGTTTGCATACACATTGGTGATTAGCAGGATAGCAGGAAGGCGGGATAAATGGCATTCTAAAATTGCATTGTTTATTTTGCGTAGTGAGGACCGCATGTGTTTCAGTTACAAGAAGTTTTTGTTTGTATGGAGGAGAACAGGCCAAATTTTGACCGAAACCACCAAAGTAGGATTTTTTGTACTCATAAACATATCTTGACTGATTCCAACATTGCATTTGGATACCATTTGAGTTGGTTTGATGTAAGTTAAGTGTTAAGGTCAAGACCATCTCATTTTTGACTGAAAATACGTTACAATCGCCCAGACGCGGGACGGTGACTACTTAATTTGCTCTCTATTTAAGGTGAAAATGTTTGCGACGGTTATCGTGGTTAAACTTGAATGACGAAACAACTATTTGAAAATTTTCATGCTTTTCCATTTCCAAGCTCTGGGTGTTGAGATAAAAATAGACAAAAGGGAAGTCTGGAAGAAAGTTTTGCTAAGATTGACTTCTACAAAGATGTAGTTTGATTTTTCGATATCTGCTGTAGATCAAATTAAAACAGCTTGCCATGTCGCATCCATAAAAGATCAAACAGAAAACAAAAGCCGCACATCCTAACAGCCAATAACGGGAACATTAGAGGTAGATACTTCAATTGGAAAATTACAGAGTAGAGATAGAGGCTAGTACTGAAAAACAAATAGGGCCTGCCCTGTCGAAAGAAGAGGTAAGGCGAACAACATAAACAACAAAAGGTGGAAATGCTTTGGGAGAGGAGGAAGTGAAGGTGAAAGGTGAAGCTGACGTTTTACCAATCATCCTTCTAGCTTCTTCAGTCTTAACTGAAACTGGCTCGCAAATTTCTGGATTTTTCTTTGGTAATTGCTTACATGTCAGAATTTTAGTTTAATCGAATAAGATGTGATGTCCGGTTTCATGATTGTGTTCTGATTCTTTATTTTTTCGTGGTCTAGTTGATATTTTTCGTCCGGTCTTTCCAATGTATTCTTTGTCGCATACGCATGGAATCCCAAACGGAATTTTGGCCTTTTGAACAAGTGATCAGTGATATTTAAAATGCAAGTGAAGCCAATAGTGGTAAGTGTGGAGTTGTTGCTTTCTGACCCATTTGGAGGAAACCTTTGGAAGGTTGTGGTGAAGTGTAATTTGGGGCGGAAAGCATATCTCTAATTATTAGGGAGAAGAGCATATGTAGGGTGTTTTAATTTTGACTTCAGTTACTCGGAATGAGTTAATTTTACGACTCTGTAAACAAGAGAGTTGATAGCCAATGATTTTTGTGCCGGATGGTGATATGACTAGACATCGGGGTACCGGTCTGCGTGCGTAGGTTTTCTGTAAACAGAATTTTCTATTGATTCTATTCATATTATTAGTTTCTAATTCAATGGTAAGACGTATGTTTCGGATGTATAGAGTTTAAATGACTACAAAAATTTCGGAGGGATTCTTGACTATGAGGCCCAATAACAAAAGTATCATCAAGGTAGCGTTTTCATAATTTTGGGTTTGGATGGATGTCGAGGGCTTTCTTATCGAAAGCTGCCATAAATATATTCGGGATGATTGGTGACAATGAACAACCAGTTTTTGTTCCCGATGTTTTCCTTCCTTACATTCAAAACATCACTGGCTACTGTTTGAGATACCAGAAGCTTACAGCATTCCATGCATATGCGGCAAAAATACGCTGAAGACAGGACGCAAAATATCAACTAGGCTCAAGGAACATGAACGACTCTCAAGACTACGACAATTAAACTCGTCAGCAGTTACCGAACATAATCATGAAATCGTTCATCAAATCTTATTTGATAAAATTCTTGCATGGAATTAATTATTCTAAAAAAGAATAATCGGAGATTCCACAAAAACTATAAGCAAATAAACGGCGACTCATGATTGGCGCAATTAAATTTATAAATAACCCATGCAGGATGATTCCAGAAGATATATAAATTGTATTGCAGTAGCCTGTGGAAGTTTCTTTTGAAAAATTAAAAAAAAGGTATTTATTCAGTTGTATCTGAAACAATATAAACATATTTTTATTTTTTAGAGTCTTGATAAATATTTGCATCATCTTCCTACTGAAACAGTAGTTGATCATTTGACAATGCGCACTAGACAGACCAGTAATGTAGAATCAATAAACAGCAAAAAGTTTGCGAGAAAAGAAAAAAATAAGAGAAAAACTGAAAAAAAAACCTACAGCTAACAAAAGAAAGAAAAATGTGGATGATGAAATGCTAACAAAAATTTGCCAGAAATAAAAGGATTAATGAAACAACTTCATTATCAACATCAATGCATTATTTAGAAGCCTGTTAAAAAAATTACCCCCTTCACTGAGAGCTCAGGCAAAGAATAAGCTGCTTCAAATTATCTTAGGGGCA